GAGAAAGGAAAAGGCGTGAGAGGTGAGAGGGCGGGAGTAAGAAATTTAGGAAAAGGCGAGCTGGAGGAGGAAGGAGTAAAGGGAATGGCGAGTGAGGAGGGAGGAGAGAGGGAAAGGGAAAGAGGGAGGAGGAAAGGAAAGAGGGGGTGAAGAGGAGGAGGAAAGTAGGAGAGAGGGAGAGGGAGAGAAATTTAGTGAAAGGGAGAAGGGGGAGGAAAGGAAGGAGGGGATGGAGAGGAAAAGGAGAGGAGTTAAAGAAAGGGAGAAGGTGGAAGGAGAGGAAAAGGGTGGGTGAAAAGGAGGAGAAAGGAAAGAGGGGGGTGAAGAGGGGGGAAGGTGGAGAGGTGATGGGAGGAGAAAGGAGGGAAAGGGAGAAGGAGAGGAGGAAAAGGGGTGTGGGTGAGGGAGGCGGAGAAGGGGATGTGAAGAGGGAGGAGGAAAGGGGAGTGGAGGCGAGGGGAGGGAGTCAAGGAAGGGAAGTTTAGAAAGGGGAAGGAAGAAAAGAGGGGGGCGGGGGAGGGTGGAAGGGAGGAAGGAGAGAAAGTCAAGGGGAGAAGGAGGGAGGGAGGAAAAGGGAGGGGTGGAGAGGGAGGAAGAGAGAAAGTTAAGTTAAGGAAAGGGAGAAGGAGGAGAGAGAACAGTTAGAGAAAGGGGGAGAGGAAAAGGGAGAGGAGGGAGGAGATAAAGTTAAGGAAAGGGAGAAGGAGGAAGAGAGGAAAGAGGAGAAGGAGGAGGAGAGAAGGTCAAGGAAAGGGAGGAGGAAAGGGAAAGGGAGAGGTTGCGGGGAGGGGGTGAAGAGGGAGAGGAGAGAAGAAGGAAAGATAGAGGCAGGAAGAGAGGAAATGGAGAAGACGAAAAGGGAGAGAGAGGAGGAGGGAAAGGGAGAAGGAGGAGGATAGGGAGATAAAAGGGTGAGGCAGAGGAGAAAAGGAGACAGAGAGGAGGAGAGAAAGAAAGGGAAAGAGTGAGGGAAGAGGAAGGAAAAATAAATGGAGAAAGAGGAAGAGGAAAATAAATGGAGGATTAAAGGAAGAAAGGAAAAGAAAGGACAATAAATTAGACGACTGGAGGAAGACAGGGAAGGGGAAAGGGCACAGAGAAGAGAGAGAAGAAAGGGAGACTGGAAAAGGCGAGAGAGAAGAGGAAAAATAAAAAAGGGAGGAGGGAAGAAGGAGAAGAAAAGGGGGAGAGGAGATAAGAAAGGAGGAGATAAGAAAGAGGGAGATTAAAAGGGAAAAATATAGGGAGAAGGAGAGGAAAGGGGAGGAGAAGAAATGACAGAGAGAGAGAGAGAGAGAGAGAGAGGAGAGAAAAGAAAGAGTGGGGAGAGGGGGAGTGGGGGGGGGATGAGTATGACATCACCCATCCCGGCTTAATTAATTCACATTCAACTAGATCCAGGTTGTAATCCCGGCAGATTTACCCGGGATTACGTAATAAAGAGGTGTTCGTTAGGGCGACAAATGCCCAGGTTAGATGTGTATGAATGCTGACAATTAAAGGCTGACAATTCAATGCTGACAATTAATTCGGTTTACGGAAACGGGGCGATTTCTCGGCGATTTCTGGCTCTTCGTCTTCGGTCTCGGAGGAGAGGGGAGGGGGAGGGGGGAGGGGAAAGGGAGAGGGGGAGAGGGAGGAGGAAGAGAGAGAGTGAATGAGAATTTTATATTTATGTGTGCGTGTGTGTGTGGGGGGGAGGGGTCTGTGTGTGTGTGTGTGTGTGTGTGTGTGTGTGTGTGTGTGTGTGTGTGTGTGTGTGTGTGTGTGTGTGTGTGTGCAGGGACGAGGGAGTAACTAATGGGTGGAGATGGAAATAGAGATAGAGATAAAGACATAGACACTGATTGAGAGAGAGAGACAGATAGACAGACAGACAGTTAGATAGACAGAGGAGAGAGAGAGAAACAGAGAGAGAGGGAAGAAGAGAGAGTGAGCGAGTGAGCGAGTGAGTGAGTGAGTGAGAGAGTTAGAGAGAGAGAGAAGAAATAAAGAAAGAAAAAGATAGAAAAGAAAGAAAAAGGCAAGGAAGAGGAGGGAGGAAAGGAGGGAGAGGGGAGAGGGGGCAGAGCAGCAGGAGGGAAGGGAGGGACCGGTAAAGACTGTGACTGGATTATACAACAAGGACATCTGCATTATTGCCAAATATGCGATTCAGCGAGGGGAGGCGGAGAGAGGGAAAAGGGGGGTGGAAAGGGAGAGAGGAGGAATGAGGGAGACAGATAAAGGGGAGAAGAGGGACAAAGGAAGGGAGAGAGGGGGGGGAGGGAGAGAGGGGGGAGATTAGAAGGAGGGAGGAGGAGGGAGAGGGGGGGGGAGGAGGAATGAGGGAGAGGGGGAGATTTGGGAGAAAGGAAGGGACGGAGGAGGGAGAGAGAGAGGGGGGGGAGGAATGAGGGAGAGAGGGGGCAGAAGAAGGGAAGGAGGAGGAATGGAGGAGGGAGGGAAGGAGGAGAAGGGAAGAGAGAGAGAGGGAGAATGAAAAGGGAGATGGAATGGAGAGAGAGAAGAAGGAGAAGGGAAGGGGGAAGGAACCAGGGAAGGGGGAGAGGAAGGCCAGAGGCAGGAGAGATAGACAGAGGAGAGGAATGCAGAAGGGGAAGGGAGAAGAGAGGTGGGAGAAGGAGGAAAGGAGAAAGAAAGAGAAGGAAAGAATGGAGGAGGGAGAAGGTCAAAAGGGAGAACGGAATAGATTCAGTAACAGCAGAAAGGGGAGGTAGAGAAGGAGAAGGATTGGGGAGAGGAGTGTGTAGAAACAGGAGAGGAAGAGGGAGATGAGAGGAAGAAAGGGAGAGAGAGGGAGTGAGGGGAGAGATCGAACATGGGGAAGAAGAAGGAGGAGGGAAGAAAAAGGAAGAAGAGATGGAGTAGATAAGGATGATTGGAAAAGGAAAGAAGGGCAGAAAGCGAGAAAGGGAGAGAGGAAGGAGACACAGAGAAGGAAGTGGGAAGGGCGAGGAAGAGAGGTGAGAGGGAGTGAGAAGAGGGAGGAAAGAGGTCAAAGAGGGGGAAGGAAGGGGAGAGGGAGAGAGGGAGGAGGGGAGAGAAGGGAGAGGGGGAGTGGGAGAAGGCGGAGGAATGGCCCGAGGCTCTGTTTCATGACCGGGAAAATCCAAGTTGCGTTTTGGAGAAATTGGTCTTGATTTAGTTTAAAGATTTTGGATTTGCTTTTCACTATTATGGCTATTTTGTTTATCCTTTGTTTCGTTTTGTTTTCTCCTCTACTTCTTTTTGTTTCCTATGTTTTTTTTCTTCCTTGTGAGTTTATTGCTCGGCTTTATCATCCACTCTCTCTCTCTCTCTCTCTCTCTCTCTCTCTCTCTCTCTCTCCTCTCTCTCTCTCTCTCTCTCTCTCTCTCTCTCTCTCTCTCTCCTCTCTCTCTCTCTCTCTTTCTCTCTCTCCTCGCTTTCTCTCTCTCTCTCTCTCTCTCTCCTCCTCTCCTCTCCTCTCTTCCTCTCTCTCTCATCTATCTATCTAATCTATCTATCTATCTATCTATCATCTTTC